TCACATCCTCATGATTTTAATCCTAATAAAATTCAGTTTGTAATGCAAAAATGATCATTCCCACACTCATTGTGAATCATACCGCAATATCTGTCCAAATAATAATGTGTTTTTATCACATTGTGCGGCCCTAATAAGTTATCTTCTGTCTGTGACTCTGTGTAAAGCCACCATATCAAGAATACGTATCATAACTTAGGTCTAACTGTGATTTGCTGATACTCACTTGCCTACAACAGGTCTTTAAGTCGCTGGCTTGACCTATTTAGTTACATGTGTGCTGATGTAAGTAAGACATCTGTCTGTCACAGTCGACGACAAAGTGATTGTGTGTTTTCTTTCGCTCAGGTGTTTCGGCGCAGCATTTAACGGTAGTTAATGAAACCTAATTGCAGAGTGTGGAGATATTTGAGACAACAGGGAGGCCTAAGATACAAGAGACACGTTCTGTCCCTTATCAAAGATTAGTTGGCGTGTCTGAACTTTGGTACAGAGCTTCAGGAGTGTCTGAGCTGACATTTGCAATGGTTGACTAATGGTCAGGTTGTGCAACATGGACTCATATTTGTCTGACCTACAAATGTAAACATAAATGCCTCTCTATATGTGTCTATATAGCATGTAACACTTTAAAGGTATGCAGACCAGTGTCTTCAGTGAAGCATATTTGTCATATTACTTGTTTGCCGAAGTTAAAGCTAGAATAAATATGCATTTCCAAATGCACATATTCTATAAAATGTATTAGTCCTTTTTGATAAATACATTTATTTAATTCTGATGTTGAAAATAGTCGATGAAAGTTAGAGTTTATGTAAGACAGTAAAAAAAATAAAAAAATACAGGTCTAAAGTGCCTTCTTCTTTATATTGGTAAAAAAAGAAAAAGAAGAAGAAACCCATAAAAGTCTTGAAATAATTTTACATAATCTCTCATTTTCCTTCCTAGCAGAGTACATGGTGTACAGGTCAGGCTGTCACTGTTGAGTCTGAGTGCAGTATGCAGACAGGACCGCTGGAGACTGGGGGAATGGAGAGAGCAGCACTGTTCCTCAGTTGTCTACCAGTGTTTATTTGCCCGGTTGGAGGGAATGTTGATGCAGTGGGTGGGATGAATTTATCATCATCTTCAGCGAAGAGATTGTGTGTTCGCTCCCTTCGTTCCTTGAGAGTTGGCAGTTGAGGGAGTGGCCAAGCCCTGCGTCTGAGGATGTTCTTAAATGCCCTTTGCTGAACTTGTTCAGACTTCTCCTCTCCTTATCCAAATCCACGTAATGATCTAGTTAGGGTTCAGTCTTATCATGAGGTAGAATAAGAAGATAGTGACCGGGAGCTTTTAAATATACTGACATTAAAATTAGGTCTGTGGGTGAATTAGTTACTTCTGTTGTCAGTTTCACAAAGTTTTTGGTTTTATAGCCTTCCTCTGTTGCTTTGTGAAATGGGTTGAGATAACTATTTGGTGAGAAAAAACGCAGAATGTGACAGTGAAAAGGACGCATCTGGTCAGCAACAATGTTTCAGCCTGCTGAGTAAGCAATCAAATACAAACAATACTCAGTAGGTTCTGAGGGATTCAATATTGTGCCACAAAATCATTCTCCGCACGCCATTACACCACTAGCAGCAAAGCCAGCATCGGCCCTTGATGTATATGTCCTATTCAGACACTGCTACCAGTGTGGCATAACATCATTTCCATCATTTATTACCACCTATCAGTCCTTGTCGATAACCTGCACGCTGCACAGGAGTAAAACTTTGCATTGTTGCAAAGCTGTATGTTCTGAGATGCCCTTACACATAGTGTGTTATTAACTTAAGACTTACATACTTTAAAAGTCTTTAAAAGTCTTTAAAAGTCTCTCATTATTACCCACACTGCTGGTGAGAGTGTTTATATAGTAATCCATAATAATAGATTGTAATAGGTAACACTTTTAATCTACTGGATGTTACAACCCGGTAGTGTGAGTTCAAGAAGATAGTTTACACTGTAAACTATCTATTGATGAATAAGTAAATTAATATATTATTATGTAGCAGGCTGCAGGTTTCAAAAATCCAGTTTGTGTTCAGAAACACGTCTTAAAATGTGTACTTGAACATTAGGAACACTCAGCTCCTTCCAGCTCAGCTAATGTGAATCCCACTGCTTCGATTTAAGTTTGTCAAATGAGGTTATTTTCTCAAGTATGAGGGAAAAAAACATGTTTTTGTGCTTATTGGTTCAGGAGGAGTCTGTTCACATTACCTTCTTATCCTTGACAGAATAAAAAAAGGGCTTTATTTTCTGAGCCAAAGAGCCTTGACTTTAAGTAAGATAAAGCATATAACTAATATGTTGTATCTCTGACTATCAGCCGTGTGTGGATCAGCAACAAACCATGTGATTTTGTTGCTGAATATCGTCTTTGTTCTTATATTATAATGGTTACTTTGGAATTAGACCTAACATTAAGTTTTAGCTTGTCCTTGTCTGTTTGTTGTGATCCAGCAGTAATCTCTCAGTAAGTATGGGTTCTGTTTTAATGTTAATCTCAATCTTACTCCGTAGTTTTCGTCTCCCTACGCCTGCGGTTTTGTGACCCAATGTTGCCACAGGAAGAAACAGACAAACTGAGACATAGCACTCCGTGAATGAGTGGCTCACAAGCCAGGAAAACGAAGAGATACCAAGAGGAGAGACCCTTATTCTGCACCATTCTTGTGTAACAGGTGTGCATGACGCTGTCTCTCTTCCTCTGTCAATACCAGTTGTCACATGATTTAAGATTGATTCCTGGTAAAGACGGCATCTTTCACACACTGATTGTTCTTCTCAAGGTCTCCTACTCTTTCATTCAGACTCTTGTACTCGCATTCATCTTTTTAACTCTTTATCTTCTTGCACTCTTTTTTTTTTTTTAAGTATTTTTCATTTGTCCTTGTTTGAAAGTTTGAAATAACATTGTTCTTTGCCCCGTCGCTGTTTGTTTTGTATTAACTGTATTTTACAACCCTCCTCCATTCACTGTTCAGATTGCAACAGAACTCGACGGCCAGACCGTTGCCATGTCGACCTCATCGCTACGGCGACAAGTAAAGAACATCGTCCACAACTATTCGGAGGCTGAAATCAAGGTTGTGTGTCCTTTTGCTTATGTGGCTTTTCTTCTTCTCCTCCTTTTTATACACCCACATTCCTCATATGTCCGTGGTTTAAGTGTAGTCCATGTATCTCTGCAGCACATATGACATCATGTAGCTGCTGATAATCTCATTTTTTTTCTTTGAAGCAACCTTCTAACTCTTTCCTCTCGTTATACACAATCTGAGCTAATCTAATCATATTATCCTTTTTGCTATTTTGCCTCTCTCCAGCTTGTGCTGTGATTGAGTTTGCATTGCTACTCAGAACACTGCGGACCAGTAAATTGCCACAAAGTATTGGCCCAAAATTATTCTTGTCACGGACAGTTTGGATGGTGGATCATTTAAGTTTGTCCCTTGCTGTGTTGTTGTCCAGGTTAGAGAGGCGACATCCAATGACCCATGGGGCCCCAGCAGCTCTCTGATGTCAGAGATTGCTGATCTGACCTACAATGTTGTGGCCTTCTCGGAAATCATGAGCATGGTGTGGAAGCGCCTCAATGACCACGGCAAGAACTGGAGACATGTGTACAAGGTTTGTGTGTGTGTTCTGAAGTTGGGAATAATTGTGGCGATATATCCCAATACATATTCTTACGACGCATGGACTGATATTACAACTCTCACTATACATTTCTGATGCACAGGTACCTATATTATAGTCTTGTTTTTGCAGCGTACATAATGTAATAATATTCTGACAATAGTACGTCAGGAGGTGTCTGAAATCACTCCGTATTTGTAGTTTAGACTATACTATATACTATATGTATTGTCTTCTCTAATGTGTGTGCCAAAATTCTGGGCGTGAAACTTACATACTATATATAGTGCCTATAGTAGTTCCCAAAACAACAGTAATGTCCATGGCATGTACTTTACTTTCTGCTAACAATCCCACAATGCAGTGCATCCCATTTTGTAGAGACAAGAATTACAGTTGTTGCAACACTACAACTGTCAGTGATGCAGAATGATTCAGAAATCTCAATTCAGTGCTCGCAACAGAGTAAACTATTTAAGACTACTCAATAAGCATACATGAGTAACTTCAGACACAGCTCAGATGTTCCTGTTTTTTTTAAATGTATGAATCGTGGAGTTTTCATTGTTATTTTCATGATTTTGTAATTCTTGCATTGAGTTATTTAGTGATTCCCACTGCTAGATCACATAGCGGTGTGTGTGGGTGTATGTGTGTAAATGCATGTGGAAATCAAATAGGGGGACTAGTTGTAGCTTGTGAACTGTTTTAATATTTGCATATCTACTATCTCACTATCCAGTCTTTCTTCAGTTCATTGGTTGTTCATTTTCACCAGGCCATGACTCTTATGGAGTACCTGATCAAGACGGGTTCAGAACGGGTTGCCCAACAGTGCCGAGAGAACATATACGCAGTCCAGACCCTCAAGGATTTTCAGTACATAGACAGGGACGGCAAAGACCAGGTACACAAACGCATCCATCCTCACAAAGCCGTTTAGAAAGTTAGTGATTAGCGAGTAAGGTCCACCTTTGTGGAATGCAGGCACACTTTGTTCGCTTGTGGTTCATTCGAGGACATTTTAAGGCGAGTTTCTGACCTCTTGTGCAAACCGACAAAGTCAGCCATAAAAGTTTTTATGGTTTGTAATTTGTAGCACTAACAATAAGGTGTTTATTAGCAGTTACATGTATGGTAGTTCATGTAATATTTAACATTAGAAATGGCACACTGGGGCGCCCTGGTAGCTGGCTGTCCTTGCAGCAGACGCCATGGGTTCAAGTCCGACCTGTGGTCATTTGCTGCATGTCATCCCCCTTCATGTCAGTCTTTAGCTGTCTTATCGATTACATAAATAAATAAATAAATAAAAATTAAATCAACAGTACACTAATTTGCCACATGTAATTGTGTGTTTATGTCTGTATCTTTCCAGGGGGTGAATGTGCGAGAGAAAGCCAAACAGCTAGTGACACTGCTGAAAGATGAAGAGAGACTAAGAGAGGAGAGGATCCACGCCCTCAAAACCAAAGAGAAGATGGCACAGACCTCCAGTGGTGAGATTGGTACTTAAACTAGTGTCTAAAAAGATTCAACCATTGCACAAAAGTATTACAGTTTAAAGGAAGGGTGGCCTCACAACAGCATGAAGGGGCCTCTGAGAAGCTGATAACTTAAGATGAGCTTTGATCCACGCATATGCTTGTTTGTTTCTGCTCCAGCCTCCTCAGCTCCCTCAGCACCCAGCATCGGGGGCAGCCTGTCAGTGGGCTCTCAGTCTGGAGGAGCAGACCCTGAGCAGGCCTGGCCACAGAGCTCTGGAGAGGAAGATCTGCAGCTCCAGCTGGCTTTAGCCATGAGTAAAGAAGAGGCAGAGCAGGTAACACAACGCGGCCAATCCAAGGCACACCATACTTAGCTGTGCCTGATCTCTAAACTAAGGATTAAAGCATAACTCTAACTAACTGTAGCCAAATTTGCAGTTTGAATCTGTTGCAGCACCTTTCACAGAGGGATATTTCTGATATTATTCGCTACATACACCTAGTTTTACTCTCACCATGTAATGCCTGACCTCCCCCAGACTAGCAAGGACCCTCTGGAGGACGCAGAGATCCGCTATGCAATCACACTCAGCAAAGAGATGCAACAAAAGGTCAGGGGCAGAGAGTGTGCCCAGATGACTGGCCAGCCAGTCATCAACTATCTGTCTTTCTGTCAATTGGAATTTCTCAAACACACATCAAGCATTAATCAATCAAGAAAATTCATTTATGCTCATATTTGTCATGTGTCATTTTCCTCAAGATACAAATTTGCATCAGACTGCATTAATGCTGTTGACATAATTTAGTTTGCTGTAGAGTGTCACATTCTTTTGTAGTCCTTGCACTCATAAAAAGGCAAAGTCGGTACATGGTCAAATCCCTGTCAAGATGTTTTAAATTTGCACAGAAGTAAACACCCAAATAATTGGTTAATTCTAATGTAATTGTTGAATTTGCATGGCATTGGCAAATATTTACCATAATTGACTAAATGAAACCCTGAGTTGTTTATGAGCACTGATTATTCTTTCCTTCCTGTTACCCTCTCTGATAGCATGCATTCAACTATAGTCTTGATTTGAAATGCTCTCTTTTCCTTATTTGTTACACATCTCCTACTGTTGTAACTTCCTTGTACTGTGTTCAGTGACTGCAAAACGTGTTTGCTTGTCGTATGCAACTACAGCCCCGTACCCGCTCCACCTAACCCTATAAACTAATGCAGGGTCTTTAAAGGATAATGACATCGTTATTGTTACTTAGTGACATTGGGTGTAACATTTGCTCAGTCCTGTTTCCTCATGGATTAGTCAGTGTTGTGCTGTTTGATAGCCAATCCTCCTTATAATTAGGTAGGCTATAAGGTGGTATTGGGGAAAGTATGACGATCTCTATCAGGGTTTATCAAGGCCTTTTTGTGTTGGTGTAATTGGTATTGGTTATGTAAAGCGAGGTCCATTTTCACTTCTTTTTTCTATTGTTACTTTCTTTTATTGTGGTTGTGTGATGAATAAGCTCCACTGCGTTCAGCTAAAAGACTGGCATCTATATCTAATACCTAGTATTGTGAGAAAGTGAACTAAAAACCATGTAGCAGGAAGCAAATTAACCACAGCTGCATCTGCAGCTGCCCCCACCTGAAAAGTGATATTGTTGTTTGGAACTGTATTTAAAACCGTATTCTGTTTATGGTGGGTATTCACATCCTATCCATGTCTAAACCTTCTTGCAGTTCTATAGTTCTCAGTTTCATTAAGGTAGCTTTGTGACAGCAGTCCTGGATTGGCTTATTTTATGTGTGAAACTGCAACATTTACAAGCAGTTGTCTGATTTGACTGAGTTTTGCCGTAGTGTTGTGAGAATTAGACAAACCTTTGTTAATAATACAGGGATTGGTTGATTTGCATTAACTTTCTGTTGACACTGGTTAAAGGTCAGGGTTTCAGTTTCCACTCCTACCGATTCAGACTTTAATTGTAGAATTGTAAATTGATCCTAAATCTGTACCTGTGGTGTGCTTTCCAAGGTTGTGTGTCTCAGGTTGCTGACATCACAGTGTGTGTGATTGGCAGGAAGAACGACTGCGCCGAGGTGATGACCTGAGACTGCAGATGGCCATCGAAGAGAGCAAGAGGGAGAAGCTGAAGCCTGAGGAGGTGTGTGTAAAATCTGTGTACTGTCTCCCTCTCACAGTTCTCTCAGTTCAGTGTGTGTGTGTGCACTTGAGCGTTGTGTTAGCCGTCATTTAGGTCTGTCCCATGAAAATCCACAATTAAAACATTAAGAACTTCAAAATAATGGTGGTAATAAATTCATAACAATAGCACGTGTGGTTGAATAAACCAGTCCATACATGGCTGAGATCCTAATTGCATAGAAATTTTAATAATTACATTACCACTCCTCTATATGCAAAACCTCTCCCAATGTAAAAATGCTGCCCAAATGGGGCTTTTCAGAGGGATATTTTATGCTTAAAGCCACTATGCTGCGATTTATATTTGTCAGGCCAGTCAAATCAACTATCCATCTGATGTAGCTCATCAGTTTGTTTGAATGTCAGATATTTTTTTATCATACTTAGAAATTGAAGATGTTCACATCCTGTTGATTACAGCTGTAATTGCCATGTTATGCTTTCAGATTCTTCAAGGAAGTAACTGTCATGATGAACCCTCTAGCTTAATTCAGTATCAGCAGAAACAGTGTCTATGTGATTATTATTATTGCACATTGTCCCTCAAACCACAAAATGAATGTCAGTCATACTCAGTTTTGTGAATTTTATGTAAGTCCACCATGTTGAGGAGATTGTGGCTTGAGTTTTCTTCCTGAATACATCTGTAGGATCATTAATCCTTAACTTATTCTCTTGTACAGAGCGCTCTGATGGAGCTGAGTGCCGTGGACCCCTGGGGGGCCCCTGCTGCTGCTGCCGCCGCTGCCACCGCCACTGTGGGCTCTGCCGGCCCTTCGCCTCCTCCCACAGTTCCTGCCCCTGCCGCCTCAGGTCCGTGGGGCGCAGCCTCCACAGACCCATGGGGGGTAGCATCACCCACATCTCCTACAAGCTCTGACCCCTGGGGTGGGGGAGCCCCACCCACTATAGCCCCTCCTCCAGACCCCTGGGGCGAGACATCTAACAGAGTTAACAACGTAGACCCCTGGGGAAGCTCAGGTAAGCGGCTAAACACTGGTCACGTATTCTCTCTGTTGCCAATCAGGTTGGTGGGAATGTACTCATTGCTGAGTATCAAAAGAGAACCGTGTCCCGCTCTGTGGATGAAAGAGGATGTGAAGACCTCTCAACCTTTACTCCTCTTTACTCCACCGTTCCATTTCCTGTCTTCATAATGGCCCTGTTACATTTTCTGTCACGTCGGCTCACCATGCTGTCATATCTTCTCATCTACTCACATGCTTTCAGTTTGTAATGAGGAAAGCAAGCATGCTAAATCCATTCTCCCTCTGTGTCTAAACCAGGGATTTTTATCCTCTTGTTTCTACTCAGGACTGACTGTGGCTGTGTCTCAACCAGAACTGTCTCGTCTCTTACCCCTTTGTGCTCTTTTTTAATGTATGAGGTAGCTTCTTATGATCTCTCCTTTACCTCCACTGAGCTTCAGATATTAAAAAGGGTGAAAGTAACCTGGTGAACAGCTTCAGAAAATCTGCTCTCACCTCGAGTCGAGTTAGTGGGACTGCAGAGGTCAAGGAGAGAAACATCACTGTTGGAACCCAGCCCAGCTTCCTGCTCCCTCCTTATTGTGGATTGTACCTGTAAGGTGTTGTGTTAACCCTCCCCTCCCCTGCGTCTCCTCCCCTCCCCTGTAGCTGTGACCCCCCCCAGTGCCGACCCCTGGGGCCCCTCAGTGCCACCCAGCACTTCCTCCTCGGGGGGGCCAGTAGACCCCTGGGCAAGGGACGGGCCTGTCCCTGCCTCTGACCCTATCACCTCCGACATCTGGAGTGGCACCGCCAAACACACTAACGGCACAGGTACATTCACACTTAAAGCTACATGGAGTCACAAACAGTGAGGTACTAGTTCACACTTTTAAAGGGATTTTCATAGGTTATACACAGATTTTCAATTGCATGCACATAACAGTTGTCTTGTCTTACATTTCATCCTCCTCCCCCGTAGTATTGTGTTTTATATTATTACTATTATGAACCTCAGCATATCTTTCTTCTCTTCTGCTATTCCTGTGCTCGGTCACTTCTATTCGCATTTCCATTCCTTCCCCTGTAGGAGACCCAGAGCGGCGAGGGTCCCCAGCAATGGGTTGTGACAGTACAGGCTCACCGGTGCCCTTTGACCTGTCATCTCTTGGTTCTTCACTTCCTGTTCGTAAGACTCCTGAGTCCTTCCTCGGTCCCAACGCAGCACTGGTGGATCTCGATTCCCTGGTGTCATCTAAACCCAAACCCAAACAGCCACCGCCTCCTTCCATCTCTTCCTCCTCAGCGCACAACCCTTTCCTCCAGAACACAGGTTAGTTAAAGCTATCGGGTTAACGGTGTGTAACATGAGAAAAGAGACGTTACCACACTGTCTAAGCTCAGCATTACTTTTGTAGTCAGACAGGAGTATTTTACATTTTTATGTAGAGCCGTGTAGGTCTCAGATCATCAGCTGCGTTCATATTCACAATAAAATGCAGCTGGCAGAAAAAGACCATTTGATTCAAATTAATTCTGAAGAGATCAAATTAAATGTCTTGAACCACAATGTACTACCATTAACTTACAAGTATAGAGAGAGTTTGGCTGGAATGAAGTGGGTTCCTCTGAAGATCTCAGATCAAAAGCAGACAGTTAACCACCAGCAACCATGTTAGAGGCTCTGTGGTGACCGGGAGGTAAACTCACATTTTCTGGAGATGCACTAAACCTTTCTGTGAGATGTTCATGCAACTATAAAAGACACCATGTGATGCTGTTTGCTGTGATGTACCAATGGAACATTTTGAGGTTAACCAAAGAACCTTTTAAAAGCTTTAGCAAGACATAAATGTATTGATATTGTTCAGGAAATGTATTCAATTAAAAAGTATTTAGAGAGAAGGAAATATTATTGACAGAAATTGAGGAAAGAAGAAGAAAATATGGAACAACTGGAAATTATGTACAAGTATCCCATGACAACAATTTGTTGATTATTTTCTAGAATAGTAGTTTCTCATCTATATTGTTTGTACAATGTTAAGAAATGTGAAAAATGCCTCCAAGGCCAAAGCTTCATGTTTCTGTTCTTCCGACTAACATATTCAGCTTAGAGTCACATAAGACAGAGAAAAATGACAAATATTTACACCTTAGAAGCTGTAACCAATGAATGTTTGACATTTTCACAAAATAAAAAGGACAGAAACAGTTCATTAATCATCATAATTAATTGTTTCAGCTATAATTTTGTGTTACTGTCACATGTTGTTTCCAGTTGTAAAAAACCTGGTATTAATGAAAAAATAAAACATATAAAAATGTGTTGAACATAATGTTTTAGTAGGTATTAAGTGACTCTTAATGTTTTTTTTCTTGTGTAACTGTCACCTTTGACCCTCAGGCTCTTCTCCTGCTCCTGGCATGGCAGTGACTCCAGGCAGCACCATTTCCAGTCGGGGGGTTTCTCCAATACCTGCCTCCTCCAACCCTTTCGGCGTGGCTCCACCTATGACCTCCATCTCACCTCAGCCCTCATCACTTGGCCTGAGCGGCCTCCGCTCGAGTCCTGTGCCTCCCAATCCCATGCTGGGCATGGTGCAACCAGGAATGGGCATAGGGCCAATGAGTGTGGGTATGGGGCCTCCAGGAATGGGCCTGGGCATGATGCAGGCCAGCCCCATGGGCATGCCCTACAGCGGGCTCTCGCCTATGGCTCCCCCAGGCTCGTCCCTGTTGGGGCCTGGAGGCGCAGTACCTCCTCAGCTGATTTTGGGTGGGCCCACTGGAACAGGAGGAGTGATGGGAGCAGGAGGATCAGTGGGAGGTGGAGGAACGACGGGAGCGAGCACCAACCCTTTTCTTCTTTGAGGAAGTGTCACCACTACTTTGCTTACCTGTTTCAACCTCCTCTGTCGTACCTGCTGCCCCTGTCATTCACCCCCCCCCCC